GGTCATCAGCTGTACGTATCACTTGCGAGCAGAATCGACATCGCCTGACGATGTTGAAATTTTAAAACACAAAGATACATATTTTTCTATAAACATAACAAAACACAAGGACAAGCTTTAACCCTTTAACGACCAGATCCTTAAATTGTTATTTCAAAATTACGAGACTAATATTATATTTGGTATCTTGTTATGTTTAAATCGAAAATATCGATATTGAACAGACCCATTTTTTTTCATTTTTCCTTTTTCCGTTATTTTTCGGGGAAAAACTTGAATTTCTCAACTAAAACCTTGGAGATCTACTTCATATTGGATGAAACTACGGATCCTTGCTGACCAAAGTTAAACATTAACCGGTAACAAAATTTAACATACTTTTAAATTAAGTGTTACACAAGTGCAACGCTTGAAGGTTTAAAGATATTTTGCGTCAAAAAAGCAGACCAAATTTCCCTAATATTTTATTTTACACATACTTTATGCGCCCTATGCCCTGCAATTTAGGCCTAGTGTCATTAAAAAGTAGCACGTTCAAAACATATCCCCACCTTTATTGATACAATAAATCGCTGAACTCTTTCTGATCCTAAAATTTCTTCAAATTTGGCATAAAAAAAATTATTTCAAACGATAACACTAGTTTACAAAATCCACAAAATTATATGTGATCGAGACTCCGCTATAAAATTAAGGATACGTTTTTAACTTACGTTTCGCTCGATTTCGCCTAAACTATTAGTCCGATTGGAAAACAATGTATAAAAAAATTGTATATAATTTAATTACCTCTAATTTAAGAGTCGTCGCGATTAAATCGGTGGACTGTAACGCGAGATGTGGCCAAACCCGTCGGGTCGTCTTTTTAAAAAATTACCAAAATATTTATCAAGCGATATCTCAAAACCATATCATTGTTTCTAATTACTCCTTCACTTTATACGATATATGTACTCACACACGCGCGCGCACCCCACTGTCGACCGCCATCTGTAACCAAAGTTCTGATCCGATTGGTGGATCGACCGAACTACTACGAGATCCTGCGTGCCCATTGGCTCACGTTGAAGTAGCGTTTCCAGGAAGAACCTATCTCAAGACTCGAGAGACCCGTACCGCTACATTAACGTGAGTCTACTGTAGTGTAGACGCAACTTTAGAATCCGCAACGTGTTTACTGTTGATGCTTCTATGCCACCTCGTAAGTCGACTCGTCTATCCAAACGATTCTAATGCCCAATGCACAGTGAATAGTTCCGCCATTTTGTCCTCAAACGTCAAAGAGACAACCGTGCCGATCACTTTACAAGAATCACCCAACCCTATTATTAACGACGGTAATCGTTCGAGCCCCATAATTTCGTTAGCTAGAACGGGGCCGTTCAGTACGAGCAATTGAAACACGTTTATAAAATTCGATGATTCACGATCGCGTTCCAGGAAGACGATGGGAGACCACCACGTGGCCCACGTGGTACATGACAGTTTAGCCGTTTATCAAACAAGCAGAGCAACGATTGACCAGGAAACTATGGACCTTCGTTATCAACGCGAAAGGAGAACGAACTCGTGGTACCACGTGCTTCGTTTAATCATCGGCTCTTATCAATACGAACTGAATATATTGCGTGAGTGTTTCGTTGGCTCGAAAGAAAGCGGATAACTATTGTGCAACCATTTAAAAACGATCGAACTACATAATGCCGTGTTTTTGTGACTCTATTCTTTCGTATAAATGTATGTATATTCCATTGTTTTACAATATTAGTAGAACGTTTTGTAGTTATAATTTCTATGAAAATTAAAAGAAATTACGTCATAACGAGAGAGAAACGTAATATATTTAAAGAAACGTAACATAAATTTCAACAATATTTCTCATGGAAATACAATTTAACATATTTACGGTGCTTGTGAATTTTTTCGGAACAGGGAATAGAACAATAGAAACGAACGATAGAGTATGTAACAAAAGAAGCTTGACACGTAAGAAGAGTTCTTATAAAAAACACTGTAAGTGTCAGGACAAAAAAATTTGGCTTTTTTTATCGATAAATGTTCTACGTGTCAATGCAAATACTGTAGTATACGATGTAAGTGCAATTTCCGTTTATAAATAGACACCAATAGTACTAAAAAATGGCATCAGTGGTACGTCCAACATCGCCTCTACAGACGACACTGTAGTGCCAATTCAAGTGTTATTTATATTTTTGGTTTTCTATACACGTAATCTGGGAACAAACAAGATTGGCATTTACACTGTTTGCAAATTTAAATAAATTACACATTGAGTTTTCAACAAATACAATTTTCTTTCTCATGGATTTGGACAATATTAATGTAGAAAATAGAAAATTTTGTGATGCATTTGGGTTATTGTATTCTTAGTCACATTTTCCAATAAAAAGAAATATACATTTGGTAAATAATTTAAGGTCAGGCAACTTTTTTTTCTTATGAAAAATTTTATTTTTAGCTACATATTCTAGTGTTTTCTACAGGTATTCTTCAACTATGGACGAAGGAACGGCAAAAATACATTTTTTCGTAGAAAATTATAAAATAACGCGATGACCCGCCATTAGGTCATTCCAGCATTTACGGCAAAATTGAGTAGGCGGTGTGACCCACCGGTGGGGCACCACATTATTTTATCATTTCCTATTAAAAAAAGACAGGTGAAACTAACCGAGAAGGTGAAAAGATTAGAATCTGAAAAATAGCTAAGTATCCGATTATAACAAACGCCGGCACTAGCAAAGGTTTCATCGTGTTAATATTTCGTTTTAGATAGACACGATATTCCCAACGTTCCTAACAGAAGAATCGTGTTTTCGAGTACAAAGTTTTTAGATCACATTATACAAGACAAATTTAAAAGATCGGACCTGACATTTAACAAATCAGTTAATGAAAAATTCTTTAATGTCAAGTGTGTAAAATTTATGTTTCGTTTAATGGTACATATTTAATATGTTACACTACTCAAACTTGAAACAGTAACCTTTAGAAAAATTAATTTTTTTTACAAACAATTCAGATTATGCTGACAAAAAATTAAATAATTCATTGATATCAAAGATGGAAAATGTTGTCACGAATGACATCTAACAGTAATACATATCTAAATAAATGGTCGATCATCCTGATAGTAACATTGATTTTTTTGTAGGTTTGTAATAACCTAACAAAAGATTATTACACAAAGTGAATCAAAAATCGCGATAGAATATATGATGTAACTTTGTACTTCATAATAATTATAATTGCATAATCGTGCAAAGATCATTGCAAAAGTAAATTTAATTCTCATTAACAGAAATATACGCATATAAAATCTTTTAATATTTGGTACAGCATTTCGTTCATTCTACACGAATACTATTGTGTGTACAATATTATTCCTATCAGATTATTATAAATTCCTTCAAGGATCACCATATATATATATATACTGTACTACATAAAACAATTAATAAACCTCACCTCTAGATTATTCAGTCGGATAAATTAAACATCAGTAACGAGAAAAAAAATATTTTATAGTCAATATACTATTTTCTTGCGAATATCCGGCTTAATTAGTGATTAATGAAATTCAACACGCGATTTTCATATTACTTTGCGTTTGTCTACTTTATAAGCTGCTTACTAGTGCTTACACGATGCAAATTAATCTCTCAGTGAAAATAGTAGGATTAATTATTCAAATTAAGTATTTATAGCTCGAAGATTCGTAATTCATTATTTCAAACAAATAATCTAAATGTTGTAGTAACTAACTAAATTAACACATGTATGTTAGGCATATTATCAATAAATACAATCTTTAACTAATAAAACCTGAACTGTCAGTCATCGAGCAATGAAAATATGATATTGATGATCACACGAGAATTAACGATCTCATGAGAGTGTGATTATTATTATTGTCGTCAGATATCAATGATAATACACTCGATGTCATAAATCCAACAATCAAATCTTCGATAACAATATGAAAATAAAAAAGTTTTACTTTGTTTAATATAACATTTATCTAATAACCCCTTCACCCATTTAATGTGAATTGTTTTTTTTTTTAAGTATGATACTGTTGATAATAATAAATGTAATAAACCACTATCGATAAAAATCAAATAAGCCACGGTTTTATAACAACGTAGACATTATCCTTTTGTAACTTACTATCTATGTAAATACTACCTTACTATAGCAAGTTGAAAATTAGTAACAAGTTGAGTGGTAAGTAAAAAGTAGTAGTAAGTTGAAAATAATAAACTAATAAGATATTAATGATAAAACTTCAATATTCAAAATTTAATACTGATCAACAAACACCGTAATCTTATACATATAGGTACGTATGTGTATGTATGCATATGAAAATAAAAATTTTCCACCGTTACTGTCATCACAATCTTGATTATGTGCAAGATAGCTAATACATACCTTTAAAATAATGATAGGATTTTTCGAAACGTTCTCTTTCTTTAATCAAATTTATATCGAAAATATTTTACGCGCTCTGATTGGTCGGGGTTTGTCGTTAATATCTCGTTAACAAAGCTTGGGATAATATTTCTGCTAAGGAAAAACTTTTTCTCAGATCTTTTGCACCTTTTATTACGATATGAATGTGAAGAAATTAGTCAATTTCTAAATTTCTAAATTTTCATAAGTTTTTCACGTTTTTCCACCGATCGAAGCAAATATGCGTTTATCGTCGGTAGTTCTAGTGTTAATATTAAATTTTCAAACATACAAGAAACATATTTAGAACAAAGAAAAAGTGATGAAAACGTAACAAAGAAATTACGGTAGTATCATTACAAATTATCAAAAAGATTAAGCAACTTCTCTTCGCATTAGTCTATAGTGCAAGTTCTATGGTTTTGTTACACTGTTGTGATCATGATGACAATGCTATTAAATTGGCAATAAAATTATATACATATTATTGAAATATTATATATATTAAACAACAGAAAGCATACCATGTCGTTAGGTTGACACCTGTCCTATAATTCCAGAATAGGTAGCCAAAAGATCAGCGAAAACATGAATACGTTCTTCTCACGTGCCAAAACATTAACCACGCACCACGCGTCACATTCAAGTTTCACAATGTCAACGTTTCAGTATTCCCGCCAACGATAGAAACAAAGCGATTCTTCAAAGATAAATTTCACCGCATTAGGGACATTCGACATTAATCTTTTCAGGAATTCTTCTATATGTTCCCCTCTAAAATCTTATTCACTCTTTGCATATAACGGTGACAAACATTCGACATAAGTATTTGAAAAGAAACCGTTAAAAAAATCGTTATTAAACCAGCACTATTGTTCGATTATTTCTGCTCAGTTTTTCGTTAATCAATAATTTGTCCATCGACAGAATTCTCGAATTCGATTTATTTCTCTCGACGATGTTTTCTAATTCCTTTGATCAACCAGATCAATCGAACATGAACGAAATTACGAATATGTTCGGCTCTTATTTAAGATCGAGTCCCGTGGAGCGACTTTTCGACGTCCTGCGAAATCTTGTCGCCAGCATGGATGCGAGAATACGACACATTTCACGGAATATCAGCTGCCACTGATCCTCGATACACACTCGTATCCGTCTTTTGTCATAGGAATCAAGCCGAGATAAGATTTCTCAAATCGTAACCCGAGATTTTCCGACTGTTCAGTCGCGATCCGCGGTTCCGCACTGTGTTAATTTCTAACCGCGTCTATACCGTTCCCCGTTCAAGTAGTTTTCCGTTACTACTGGATGACCGGTCGAGCCGAATGTTTTGTTTATGTTCCGACACGGTTACGGAAAGGAAACAAACAAGTGTGCACAACATTCGTCGGTGAGACGAAAAAGAGAGAGATAGATAGATAGATAGATAGATAGATAGATAGATAGATAGATAGATAGAGAGAAAGAGAGAGAGGCGGAAAAGTGAAATAGAAAGAACAAATGAGAGGGAGAGGGGGAGAGAGAGAGAGAGAGAGAGAGAGAGAGAGAGAGAGAGAGAGTGTCACTCGCGGTACGGCTTCTCGAATGACTTAGTTCGAATGGATTACAGCAGCTGCGTCCGGAAGAGTTACGGCGAGCGAACCTAATTTAATTCGGTTATTTATCTTTACGTAGCGTCGCGCGGCAGCACTCTACGTATTGTTCTCTTTATGTAATATTAACAGTCACTGTAAGATGAATATTCGAAAGAATCAATATTCTATTTCACAGGAAAGAATTACAGGGAATTTAGCGACCGTTGGATATCGAAAGAAATTGCACGACGATGTGTGAAAGGGGCTATTAATAGGTCGTTGGCGTCGACTCATTATTCGATAAGAAGGGCAGTAATGATACATTAAATTGCTAGAATTATATACGGCACAATGCGGCTTGAGGTATTTATATTTAAATAAATATCATCCGAATGTTACTATCACGAGTGATTCACGTCAGGATAACCTTTGCACTACCCGGCTAGCACACGAAGTAGGTTAGAAGCAAAGAGGTTATGCGCGTGTAAACACCAAGGATACGTGTTCCTTTTCCTTTAATGAAATGGCCCGTGGCGGTGCGACCGAGGAACGGCTCTGATGCACGCGTGAGGACGGCCGAACTAATACTGATAGCGGCAATGCTCTCTCGCCAATGCACGCGGGGACTGTTGCCACCAAGATACGAAGTTCTTCGGCTCCACTGTTAACTGCTTGTTCCTCTTATATGCATAGAACCGCACTTTCTACGTACTGGTTCAGTGAGGGAGGTGGCAGGCCACGTGGAGGTGTTAAAGCTCATGTTTACATACTAAATTTCTGTATGCAAGTTATTTGAAATGAAAAATAAGCAATAATATAATTAACAATACCATACTTAAGGGGTATGCCTACCTGCGAGATCGAAAAAAAACATGTACCCTCGGAATTTATTTTTAAAAAGCTTGAAAACTTTTTTAAACATACGTCATTGTATTCGAAAGTGTACATTTTAAACTGCTTGTAGTAATTTCTTCAATGCAAAATAAATAGGGGAAATATCAGCGATTTCCCGGCAGCGTTTTTATTTTAGACGTTTTGCGGTGACCACTGTAACTTTGAGTTGGTTTATCTGAAATAGTATATTAAATTATCTAGTGGCCGATCGTTCATTATCCTGAAAAATTAATTTACGACTAAATGACGGCTGTTCAAAATCGAAGTATCGATTTTCGCCAAAAAAATCGTTCATTTTAGATCTATAATATAAAATAAAAACTACGCAATGAAATACAAAAAGCCACGATCAGGCACGAGATTTTTATATATAGAATGAGTTTAAGCTGATCCGTTCGGTATAACTGTTCTCGAGATATTTCAGTCACCGATTTTGAAAATGTGGTTTTGAGAAAAACACGTTTAAAGTTTCAAATCAGATTTACAACCGAATCAATGTAAATTTTTTATATATAGTTATTCTTAGTATTACGGCTTCATATAGCCCTGTGCATTTACTAACACAACTATAAATTGCATTGGGGCACAGTATTCATGACTCACGCACCCCTAGAAAGGGATTCCCTTTGTGCGCGACACTTTATATCTACTCCGAAACTTCCTAAGCCATATACTTTAAACGAGCGTAACTCCGCCATTTCTAAAATGATGTACTGTAAAAAAATATTAAAACCCAACAATCGATTTTTTCAAAATTTATAGGTAGGCATAACCCTTAATGCCTTCTTAACGCCCTACTTTTATAAATGCCGTTTAACCGTCAGGCAGTAGTTAGGGCTTAACCTAATATTATTAGCCGTATGCAAAAGTAATGACCGTTTCTCCGTCGTAAATCTTTATTAATATTGAACAAATGGTACATCATCTTTTACTGGTAATTATTATTCTCATTATCTGCAAATTCTTTCCATTTTTTTTTTTTGAAAAAGTTGAATATCTTGTCCATAAAATGAAATGAAACCACAATACCAACTTAAATGAAACGATTATTTTTTTCATACATCTAATAGGCGCTGGCGCTGAACTTAGCATGGAAGGGGCTCTGAACTCATTGCCATTTTACTTCCCTCATAGACGTATATAATAGACTGCGTGGTCTTATGGTAGGAATGAGGTTAGCAGTAGAATGAGAGGATAATACATGAAGTCACATACTTCCCTTTCTAATGGGGCTGTTGGTGGGGGATTCTCCTACAGCTGTGTGGAGGCATTACATGCGTACAGCAGTCTTTCCCCTCATTGCCCTCCAGTCGCTCTCTCCCTTCCCTCTGCGATGTGCGAGCGAGAGAGGAATGACTCCATCGCTACTTCTGTCCTTCGGTCTAGCTTCATCTCTACCATAAGACCGGGCAGTCTATTATATATGTCTATGACTCCCCTACAGCCCTGACCATGGCAATATAGTTAGAGTCCACTGTAATCGAAAAATTGAGAATCGGTGCTCAGGCTCACGCCACTAACAATACATACTCGCACACCTCGTAGGTAGTGATGGATAGTCGTCGTGTCGGTTGAGCCGACTCGAGTCACCGAGCCGGCCTGATCAACGCTGGCAGCCCGACGAGTCCACCATAGGCAGGAAAACTCCAGGCCTCGGCGAATCGAGATGTTATTTGATACTCCTACAAACCTCCGTCGTCATGCTTGGGTTACAGTGTAAACACAGAATGGATCACACATGAATAAAAACTTGAACTTTTACTCTTTTCAATAGACTTTTATCAAAAATGTTATGAATACATTGCGATGTTTTTTCCTTGTGAAAATAAGCCCAAACACGACATAATTTGAACTATTTTTAAGTAAGGAAAAGGTGGGGTAATTGATCGCAGTTTTGCCTTTTCGTTGAAGTAAAAATAATTATTTATTTTATTTATATCTCATTATTTTCATAAAGATTCTTAGTATTGTTGCAGTATTCTAACTTGCAAGCATTCGATAATGAAAAACTACTTTTAAGTACAGTGGACTCTAACTATATTATCTATAAATCTGTGTAGTTCATTTTGAATCCATAACACGATCCAGAAATCTGTAATATTATCGATATACTAGTTTCCTCTAGTTTAGAATAATATCAAGACCTCTAAGATCCTCTAAAATGTTTTATTTTTTGTATTTTTTATCGTTTTATACGTATTTTTCCGAAAAATTCGAAAAATCACTCTTCTTTGGGGGTAATTCACCCCTGTATAAAAAAGGGCGGGGTAGTTTTATGAACTTTTAGAGGTTTATTGTCTAGTTTTAAGTCTCACGAATAGAATCCCGTTTGAATTTTTACTTAATTTTTTACAGGACGTCTGCAAAGTGTCGCACCGATTAAAACGTGGCTTTTTGGAAGACGCCCTCTACAGCGGTCGTGGTGAACTAAAAGTGCTAGAAAAAAATTTCTTTATGTTCTTAATAATATATATAATAGCGTCCAAAAGGAATTATGTTTCTAAATATAATAGTTTTTTTATAAAGAAATATTAAAAAAGTGTCTTTTTTTTTCAATTTTGAATGAGAAAGTCCCCTGAAATGAATTTACATTGTTTAGTACCTGAATGTGCATAATTATCATCGTTACATTATATAAATTCAGTATGTTGTTGAAAACTCGGCAAGTCAATAATACACTGATGACAATATAATAAATGTATTTCAGAAACTGCAAGGCTTACAACAAACGACTTGCATTTAGACACGACTAAGTACACTATACTATGGAATTGAGTTATTACTGACGATGTTGCGAGTCTCGTGTCTGAATTTGATCTGGCCTCCGCATCTTTCCGGGGAGCTTATGTACAGTAGTATTAGGAGGGAGCCGAATGACCTTAGGCCCTTAGCAAACTAAATAGGAGAAAAACCGAACTTTGTACAAAACCAGACTTTGAAATGGAAAGCGAAGCGATGACGAATAACGTATTTGAGAAACGGCAGATGCATAGAAGTCATCAGGCTATCGTTCTGTTGATTCAAGACTAACAGATGGTTAGTCATCCAACAATGTTACAAGAATTTCTAAATATATTCTATTTTCAAATAAATAATTTAAAAAGCTCACTTTACTCCCGCCAAAATCAGATCGCGTTAATAAACTGTGTTTTATTGAATATATTCATTTTTCCGCTCGACCTTCCTACAATATGGTGAAATTCAAATATGTTAACTCTAGTGTGTTATCTACAGTAAAGTTAAATGTAGTTAATGATAACACGTGTAAGTGGTAAATTAAAACAAC